ATGAGAGGATGGCTGCAGCTTAAGTGGACAGTCTGGACATGGGGTGATCTACCTGCAAGAATCCTGTTCCTGGGAGGTGCAAGGGCACAGATGTAGACTCTAGATGTCCCTCTAGGAATTCTGGAGCAGGATGTTTGGAATGTTCCAGAAAATCTTTTAAACCCCTAGTTTTTCATCTCGGAGGATCACAGGACAAACTCTAAATGATTAACGCGTGGAGTAGAGCAGGAATTTGTTCCAAAGTTTGAGGCAGAAGAAGCAGGTACAAGATGAAGGCAGAGGTGCAAAGTTTCATTGTGCTTTCAGTTACCCATTGGACAGCAGCAGGCCCAATGGTTCAGTATTGCTGGGCCACGCTGCGTCTGGACCTGTGGCAAAGCCACATTGGGATGGCAGTGAGTGCTGCAAAGACAGAGGAGAGAAGACAGCATCCTAATACCCTGTCTTAGAGAGGGTCACTACTGATGTGCTGAGACTCCGTGACCAAAGCAACTTGGGGAGGAAAGGGCTTATTTTACTCACAGCTCCATATGACAGGTCATCATCAAAAGCCATGAGGGCAGGAACTCCAGCAGGGCAGGCACCTGGAGGTAGGAGCCGATGCAGAGGCCACGGAGGGTGCTGCTTACTGGCTTGCTTCCCCTGGCTTGCTCAGCCTGCTTTCTGATAGAACCCAGAACCATCAGCCCAGGGGTGGCACCACCCACCATGGGCTGGGCCCTCCCCCATGGATCACTAATTGAGACAATGCCTCACAGGCTTGCCAGATCTTACGGAGGCATTTTTTTCGATAGAGGCTTCCTCCTCTCTGATGACGTTAGCTTGTGTAGAGTTGACACAAAACTAGCCGGGTCAATCCCCTTTGAGGATAGTCCCCGTGACTTAACTTGGTTCCACTAGGTTCCCTTCTCTTAAAGGTTCTATCTCCTCCGAATATCAGCACCCTGGGGCCCAAACCTTCAACACACGGCCTGAAGGGGACACAATAACCCAACTACAGCACCGGAGGTAACAGTTACCACCGTTCCCGTCACTGTGGTCAGCGAATGTGGGGATCTGGATGTAAAGTGTCCTCCAAGGCACGTGTGCATGAACACTCGGTCCCAGCTGCTTAGGTCTACTGTTCTGAGACGTTATGAGATCTTTGGGAGGGCGTGGGGGGAGGCATAACGATCAGGTGGAGGCCACTAGGGGCGGCCCTTGAAGCCTGTACCCACCTCTCATTCTGGACTTAGGTGCCTGCTTCTCGTTTGACCAAGATGTGTAACCCAGCTACCTCACTTCCCCGCTGCCGTGGACAGAGCCCTCCAGCAGTCGTCCCCTCCTCATCAGAGTGCACTGCATCCCCTAAATCTGCAAGCCAAAAGCCAAAACGAACCCTCCCTCCCTTCTGTCACTTCTTCTGGGGAGTTTAATAGAAGGGTCATTATAAAAGACGGTCATCAGGGGCAGCATTCTGGCCTTCTTTATAGTCAGATACTTGTATCCGCTACTTTTCTGTGGCTGCAAGAAAATCTCAGGACCAGAAGCAACTTCAGGAGTCAGAGTTGTGTTGGCTTCTGGTTCCAGGGGGATAAAGTCCATATGGTAAGGAAGGCATGGCAGAAGTTGCAGGAAGCAGAGAGTTCCCGTTTCATCCACACAGGAAGCAGAGAGACAGAGCAGGGAGAAGACTCCATGTCCTCAAAGCCCACCCTCAGTGACACACCTCCTCCAGGACGGATCCAAGTCATAAAGATTTCATAACCTGCCCCCAAACAGCACCACCTCCGGGGGACCACAAGCTCAAATACATCAGCCTATGGGGGACATTTCATTCACACAGGACTGTTATCACATTTGGCTCTTCGTGACGTAAGTAGGAAATAATTACTGCTCTGATAGAGAGTAAGCTATTTTAGTAAAGGCCTCGGATGGGAGACATGACCTTCATTTGATGAACAGAGCCAGCATCCTCAAGGGATGGCGCTAATGGAATGGATATGCTGGGTCTGTTTCCTCCTCTCCCTTTGATCTTGTTTTAATGCTTCCCATTGCCCTGATCCACCTGGAAGCTAAAGTCCAGGGGGCTCCTTGGTGTGCATCCTCGAGGCTAGCCTATGTTCCGAAGACATAAAGCAGAACAGAAAAAGGCCCAGAGGTTGAAATGAAGACAGTTCACCAGCCTACACTGTGATGGTACCACACCACCCTTCCCCCAGCAGGTGCCGGAACACTGGCAAACAGTCAAGGATTTAGTGGGGAAAGGGTATCCAGGCCTTTTCTAAAACAAACAAAAAGGAAAGAAAGTGGAATTTCTCACAGCATCCGTGAAGAACTTTATCCTTTAAATGGTGCAGTGTGTAATGGTATCCAGAAGATGGCGGCATTGGCAAGCCATAGACCACTTAGAAAGCCAATGTTCAAAAATCTTTTTCAGTTACCATTGATGGATAATGAGCTTCCTAAACAGAGTAACTTTGAGAGGTTCCATTTGTATTGTTATCTTTTAATTCTGTATATACAGTTGTGTCTGTGTGCAAGTGTCTGTGAGCACAGGGACCTGCAGAGACTGGATGGAGACTTTGGATCTCCTGGAGCTGGAGTAACAGAAGGCTGTGAACTGCTAGACATGGGTGCCGGAAACTGAACCTGGGTCCTCCGGATGAGCAACAGTTGAGCAAACCACTGAGCAATCTTTCCAGCCACAAGAATAGCTTTTAAGTCATGTTGGCCCTACATAACTAAATGAAGTGCAGACTTACTGTCAAGTAACTATATGGTTCTGTGCATTTTAAAGAGTGCATATACCCCATGCTTGCCTGATGACATCATCAAATGCAAATGAAGCATACCTGTACATATGGATAACATTAAAATGTCTATAAAATTTACATATGTTATAAAACTCTCCCATTGTAGATATGTACAAATAATCTATAAACTATATTCTAACACTGAAGCAAAATGTGTTGGCAGACACTTGAAATCTCAGCAATTGGGAGGCGGAGGCAGGAAGATCAGGAGTTCGAGTCAGCGTTGGTTACATGGTGAGTGTGAAGCCATCCTGGGCTCCACAATGACGTAAAACAAACACCAGGCTGAATAACTAGAAGCACTGCTCATAAGTCACATATAAAACATCGGGTTTGGGAAACCAGGGAGATAACTCAGTGAGACGAGCGTTTGCCCCACAAGCGCAAGGACCTGACTTTAGTCCTGGGAACCCACGTCAAAAGCTGAGTGTGGCCGTGCTTGCATATGAGCAGGAGTGAGGGAGGATAGGCAGATGTGGGCGCAGGGTTAGCTCCAGACAATGAGGAACCCTCTCTCAACAAAATGAGGTTGGCAGCACCTGAGGGACAGCACTTGAGGTTGACATCTGGAGCTCCACATGCACCCTGTACACACAGGTGCGGGCGGGACACACACACACACACACACACACACACACACACACACACACACACACACACACACTGTAGATGTAATAAATAAAACCTGGGGCCAGGTGACAGAGGCAGGCAGATTTCTGAGTCCAAGGCCAGCCTGGTCTACAGAGTGAGTTCCAAGACAAGCAAGGTTACACAGGGAAACCTTGTCTTGAAAACCAAAAATTATTTTAAAAATTAAATATTTTTTTTTAGGTATCGCAGGCATCACATTGAAACTATTGAAAAAAAAAATAATTGGTTTTTAAATGTCATTTTTTTACAGTGTGTGTGTGTGTGTGTGTGTGTGTGTGTGTGTGTGTGTGTGTGCTTGCTCATGCTCTTGTGGGAGTCAGAGAACAACCTGCAGGAATTGGTTCTCTCCTTCCACCATGCGGGATCCTGGGCTACAGCTCAGGTTGGCAGGGTTGGCAGCAAGCACCCTTACCTGCCAAGTCATCTCACCAACTTCTAAATGCCATTTTTAAACTAGTTTAATAATGTGCAAAATCTAGGAAGATTTTCAAATGTGCACAAATATTGTCAATACTCAAGGGCAGCTTTAGCTAGGTAGAGAGGGTAGCATGTAAAAAAGGAACACCAAACCAAGACCGTGTGAGGGTCTGGTCTCTCAGGCTAGTGGGGAGCCGGTAATTTGTTAGAATCTGGTTGAATATGGAGCAGTTAGGCAAAGTGTTGTGTGTGTTCCTGTGAGGGCCAACTTGCCACCTCCAGAGAGTCACAGAGGACTGAGTGGAGACTGTGTTTGCATGGTTGACCACACTGAAAAAATCATCCTATGAAGAAAAAAGGCGGGGGGTGGGGGGGTGGCTACAGACATGGCTCAGTAGATAAATCAAGGGCCTGAGGTCAGGTAAAGCAGTTGCAATAATAACCCTCCATCTACGAAACGGGAGGCAAAGGCGAAGCAAATTCCTGAAAGATTCCAGTTAACTAGCTTGGCACACATAATAGTGAGCAAGAGATCCCGTCTCAAAGAAGGTAGAAGGTAATGATGACCCATATCCAAGGTTGTCCTCTGACCTACACACACACACACACACACACACACACACACACACACACACACTCACTTGAGTGCAAGTTGCAGCACGCTCCATGAGCGTGCATACAGAGGAAGGGGGAAGGGGAGAGAGAGGAAAGGGAGGCTATGGAATAGCACACGCCACCTCACTGGTGGTTACCAGGGACAATTTTGGACCCTGGGAAAGATTTTGGGGTGTCTAGAAAAAACATCTGGTTTTTCTAACAACTTGCAGTAGTGTTAATGGCAGCTGGTGGTTGAAACCAGCGAGGCAGGAGACACCCTTGACACACAGAAAGCCTCCCTCAGCAAACAAATGCTCTGACCCGAACAGCGCCACAGAGAGAAACCGCTCCAACGGAAATTGCATCTCTAAGAATGACAAGGTTACAGGGAGGGAGAGGAAAAAGGAAGAGGGTGGAGCCGCAGAGATGGGGGGCACATATTTAAACACAAGGAAGAGCTGAGATTTTCTTCCAGATGTGAAAGAGCGCTGAACATGATCAGATCTGTAGAGCAGGAAAAAAACAAAACAAAACAAAACAAAAAAAAGGCTTCAGGCTTTCCAGCTTGGGCCCGGCAGAATGGCTCCCGCAAAGAAGGGTGGCGAGAAGAAGAAGGGCCGTTCTGCCATCAACGAGGTGGTGACCCGAGAATACACCATCAACATTCACAAGCGCATCCATGGAGTGGGCTTCAAGAAGCGTGCCCCTAGGGCACTCAAAGAAATCCGGAAATTTGCCATGAAGGAGATGGGTACTCCAGATGTGCGCATTGATACCAGGCTCAATAAAGCCGTCTGGGCCAAAGGAATAAGGAATGTTCCATACCGTATCCGTGTACGTTTGTCCAGAAAACGTAATGAGGATGAGGACTCCCCAAACAAGCTCTACACACTGGTAACTTACGTACCTGTTACCACATTCAAAAATCTGCAGACAGTCAACGTGGATGAGAACTAAGCCGCAGAGTGTCAAATAAAGTTGGAGAACTAC